TTGCTCCCTTCCCTCATATGATATTTTGATTCATTTCATGCGTTTGAAATGTGTTCGCTTGACCATAATATGAGCTAAACATCTTCTTTACCTCCAGGAAAGGTGAAGAGAAAAAAGCACAACTGAGCAATATCAACACCCATGAAGACTACTGGACAGAAAAGAGGGCTTTCTCTGTATTTCAGTTGAGCTCTGTATCTTCCAAGCTCTGTATCAAGCCATACACAACTCAGCAAGGAGGCTGGTGTCACACACAGCAATTCATAAAGTCACCCACATGAAAGAGGCTTCTTCTCTGTAAAACATAACTTAATCTCTTTCCTGTCAGGAACAAGAAAATGAGAAAAGATGGTAATTTCTCTTCTGCAACATTAACTGTGTGAATTTTTACTCTGAAAGGGACAGAAGTAAGTATTTTGAGCATCTGCCGTTGAAAAGGAAATTGCAACAGTAGGAGGAGCACTTTTGCTGAAAACACTGTGTAACCAAAACATCCTTTTAAGGACATTTTCTTCTGGGGAGAGAAAAAAAACCCCACATTCTAGGGTCTCTCATCTAGCTGCTACTACTGAGATTTACAGAGAAAAACCAAGGTCACACTGTGCTGCTTTTGGCTGTGATAGATTTAATTTTCTTCATAGTAGCCAATATGTGCTGGAACAGTGTTGGTAATACAGGGATTTTTGCATTATTGCTGAGCACTGCTTACACAGAGGCAAGGCCTTCTCTGCTTCTCAATCCACCCTACCAGTGAAGAGACTGGGGGTGCACAAGAAGCTGGGAGGGGACATAGCTGGGACAGCTGACCCCAACTGACCAATAGGATATTCCTTACCATATGGCAACAGGCTCAGCATATAAACGTGGGGGAAGAAGAGTAAAAGGGGGAACATATTAAGTGATGGGATTTGTCTTCCCCAGTAACAACTGCTGCCCTGGGGATGGATGAACACTTGCCTGTTGATGGGAAGGGGTGAATGAATTCCTTGGTTTGTTTTTCTTGTGTGCATGGCTTCTGATTTACCTATTAAACTGCTTTTATCTCAACTCACAAGTTTTCCCACCTTTTCCCTTCTGACTCTCTCCCTCATCTCGTTGCGGGGGGAGTGAGGGAGCGGCTGTGTAAGGTTTACTTGTCGGCTACAACCCGGAAGAATGAGAAACCTCATTTCAAGCAGGTCAGCCAACCCAACTGGAGAACAACGGGGTTTTCTCTAGTCCTTGAAGAAAACTCAAAGATCACTGCAGTCCAGGCCCTTTGTACAGTAAGATACTCTGTGCGGTAGACTCAGAAGCGGAATCAATGGGCAGCATCACTGTACCCCAAATGCTCCTCATACCTCGGAAATGTGTTTTGAATTAGTCCTCCATCCTCAGACACTGAGATCCTACACATTGACATAAAGGCTGTAGCGAGTTAATATACAGGCAGTGCTGAGATCTGAGCACATACTTCAAACATTTCTGAACACAACAAGAATTACGTCTGTATCTTAAATGTAACTTTGGCCCATGTGCATTTCTGGTCCTTCTCCCATTTCTGAGTTGCTTGCGGTGAAGAGCAGGAAGGGGCAAGAGCCAAGCATGCCAAACACAGTCTACATCACCACCTCTGCTTCACTCAGTGGTGAATGAAGTCATTAGCTTGAAAATCTGGACCTGGAAGAAGTTTGAAACCACTTACAGCCTCCAGAATTCCACCTGGGAGATAATTTGCCAAGGTGCTAAGTGGAGACAGAGCCAAAGTTCCTGGTTCAGCCAACCCAGCTGTATGGCAGCAGCCTCCTGCCAAGAACATGGAGGTACAGAATTGCAAAGTCAAATATAACACTGAGCAATTCTCACAATCATACACCCAATTTAAATCCCTGCACTGATGTTCATAAAAGGCCTTCAAGATGAAAAGTTCTATGCACAATAAGCCCTGAGTAAAATTATTAAAACCAACACTTCATGAAAAGAGATTAATTATGCTATTACTGTTTGCACATATGAATTTTCCATTAAAATAGAAATTTGGGCCCCAGTTCAACCAAGCATTTTAACATATGTATAACTTATAAGTATATGAGTAGTCCTATTTCAGTTAATGAGACCACACCTGCTTAAAAGTTAGGCATGTGCTTCACTACTTGGGTCCTTGTGATTAGAGACACAGGCATAAAGAGACAAGTATTACCTCTTTAGGTATCTTGATTGCAAATAGTGATGTGTTTCCTTACCTCAGAGGCATGTAACTACCTAGATACCAAAATTTCTACCCACAAATGTGACCTAAACACCTAAAAGTCTGCCACATGGAACATGTCAGCATGTCCTGATGTTGTCCCACAGGTAAGCACCTACAGATCTCTCCAAAGGTGCCTAGTGTAAAGGACATGACTCCTTGATGAAATCTTGCCCAGATCTTGGCTTTGAAATGGTACTGTTGACTCCTACCACTTGCTGACCACTTAAAGCAAACCCAAACTTCCCTCTTAGTTTTCCCAACTTTGTTCAGTACAAACAAAACTAAATGTTAAACTCCAGTTCTAAAACTGCCCATAAAGCTTTTAACCACCACACTGAGTTTAAAAGGCACAAAGGTACCTTTGAGGGATAGGGTTAAATACCATTAAAATTCAGGAGAAAAATGAAAACGATGGTGAAAAATTATTCTGAAGTTTTTCAAATAAAAGATGTCAGCATATCCAGTTCTTAGTGAATACTGCCCTTTAAGGAAAATGAAGGAAACACAAAATTCTCTAGACAATATCTTTTAGAAATTTCCATGTCAAATACTGTTCTTGCAGTTCCTTTTTGTATATACTTTTTACTGACTGGAAAGCACAGCTGCTACTACCTCCATTTGCCTTGCTTCTTTAGATTGAGGATGAAATATAACAGCAACCAGAAATTTATGGCCTACCTTATAGTTTGTGTTTCTGAAGATATTTATTAATTTTATGCTCTTCATTCTTTAAAGGGTTTCTTAGGCTCCTCTTGAACTGTTTTCTTTAAAAGTTAAGTTCCAGGTGGAAAACAAATCACAAAGCAAAAAGAGCTCAAGACTTCTCTTTCTTTTTAAACTCTGAACAATGCACAATAACTGCCCTTTCCTGGAGTCACAATCATTGCAGAGAGACCAGGAGGAGGCTCTTTTAATTGATTTTTATGCAATTTCCATCTTGAGAAAGAGATCCTACAATTGAATTTTCCTTTCTGGAATGGCCTAAGGATCATGTACTTGCTAATGGACTCATTAAAAGAGAATCAAAGGAAATTTCTCAGAAAAAGAAATCACTCTCTTTCTTATTTTAGTGATGCATATATCATTTTGTGATACTCAAAAATCTGCCAGAAGTTAGTCCATCTAGTGAAGTATATATTCTACTCCCAAAGATCAAACACTTTCTATGTTTTGAGATCAATATAGCAGCAATTTTTTCAATGTAAATAAACTGCAAATAAAACCTATACAAATATTGTCATTTGGAAGCCAGACCTCTGTTTACTGCTTGAGGAATAAGTGTTTTGCTTTAAAATCATCCATCACATGAGCCAACTGAGAGCACCCAAAAACCTTAAAAAAAAAAAGTAGGAGAAAGAAGGCAATTCTGGCAGACAGAGAACCTCATTTTAGGTAAAGAAACTTTGCACCCGGTGCTCTCTTTGTAAAAAAAAAAAAAAAAAAGTAATTTATTTGGAAATGAACCCCGCTTTGAAAGAAAAATCTGGATAAAGTGAATACTAGAAAGAAAGTAAATAACTTATCTTTTTGGAATAAAAACAATAGCGCTTTTTAATTACAGACATTTTATATAGAACTAATTCAAATGTTGTGTAATGTAAAAAAGACTGTAGTACAGAAACTAGTGGGAACCTAGTGCATTTAACAGCCATGTAAAATACCTTTATTACTTGACGTCATCTTGCATAAACGCCACTGGTAAGTTGTTCTTCCTAAATAATATCCACTTGCAATTTTACCCTGATTTGACATTCTCTTACACACACACCATATGCACACACACAGACACACGTGTAGATACACTCCTTATAGCCAGTGCTGTGAGAACTCTCCATCTGGTCTGCAAACTGTAGAATTTCCTTTCCCATCTATCTCAGAAATATAGTCCCATGACCCATGGGTCACCATCTGCTCAGTTACACTGGCACAATGCCTAGTATGCTTGAGGTAATGCCACCATCCTTTCCTCCAATTGTAAACTCCCAACAAGGCAGACATCTACCAGAGTGTTTGCACACAATGAGGCAGCTCCCAGTGAGATTATAGTTAAGACACCACAGAAATTCCCTTCATCTACAGTAGCCTAGGATGTGGGAATGACCAAAGACACATGCAGTCTCTCTTGATCAAAGGTCATTCTAAGGAACAAAGCAGTCAGTGCTGATGTGTCCAAGATAGCATAATATAACACACACGCATAATTGTGTCCAGCATGTGTGGTTCCCCCCCAGTTCCTCTCTTAATGATCTTTGCTTCACTCAGTATTCATTTGCGTACAATCTCCTATTCTCAGGATGCCCTAGAGCAGAACAAATTATACTAAACATAAGTGAAATCAAACAAAGTTTTCATTGAGTACCATTCATAACATTTACAAACAAGTCTCTTGTGTTAAGTTTCTCAGAAGTAATTGGCAGGTTCGGTTTTACACCACTAGATTTTCTTTTTTTTTTCCTTTTTTTTTAAGGTGTACCTATGCAATACAGTAACCAAATAACCAAAAAATCTCACATGACTTATTTATTAAAAATGAAGGTAGTGGAAAACTTCTGTATCATAAAAACCAGTAGATAGGAACAAATATAAAATTTAACCAAATTAGACAATGTTTGTGGAAAGACATTTTTCATGTGTTTTTAAATATTAAAAAAAAAAAACTAGGAATGAACACTCAGTAGTTTCTGCAGCAGATATTACAGGTAAAAGCCTTCTTTTAAAGTGTTTCAGTAGTTTAAGTTTAGAGTAACAAAGAAGTACATGTGCAATTTACCTCTCTCTCGTACTTCCCTTTTTGGTCCCACTCCTAGGAAACACTCATTCCAATGTTTGCTACATGCTTCTCTGTGGCTCACTTTCTAGCAAGTGTTTTGAAACAACAAGAAGTCAAAAGCCCACTGGCAGAACAAACCTAAAATAGGCCTGTTTCTAAAAAATGGTGCCATTCATAGCATGTACTTCTCCCTAAGTCATCGTTTCAGCTTCATTACTCAACTGCTTAACACTTTATTCAGGTAATGTTACACTGGCAGAGTTATTTCAGCAACATTATGCTTATTAACCTTCAAGAATGCCAAAGCTAAAAATAAAATCCAAACAGTGTGAGAATCTAGGCAGGGTTACGACAGCATTTCTCAAGGGATCAAAAAGTCATTACGTTCACCCCTCAGAGGGAATTTTCTTCTCAGCCTTAAATCTTGCAAGAGGAGAGGTCAGACCTCCAGCCAGCTGCATGTGCGTGTGCACATCAGCCAACAGAGGTGTTTTGCTCTGTACAGCTACACACACTGATAGCAACGAGGCAAAGCTTCACAGGCTTTCGCCTGAATTCAACCCACCCGACGCAAGTGGGCTTGGGTGAAAAGAAATACACACTGAGGAGACTGCTGGCAACTCTCTTCCTTTTTAACTGTAGGGAAACGATCTTGTCATCCAAATAATACAGAAACTCGGGTCCTTCTTGAAGCATTCCTTGACAGCACTAAAAAGTAGCATCAGCGATTTAACCCAATGCTCATCTACGTTTTACAGAGGAAAACACCGTTTCCTTTCTAACTGGGATTTAGACATAGCAAGCAACTTAATGCTGTACTATCATATGAGGCTCCTGGGACTCACGACATGTTCATCTCCAGCAGGTAGAGTCCAGCTTGTGGTGACAGGGGACAAAGTTGCCTACAATGACCCATTCCTAAGTGAGCTGAGTACCTAATTAGTTTGACTATGTTTGATAATCCAACTAAATAGGCACTTACTTTGGTGTCTTAAAGCCTTTAACATTATCTAAATTCATTAGAAGCAGAAGCATAGAGTATTACAGAGAGAGAGGGAGGGAGAGCTGGGGCTGGTGGTGGTAAGGATGTGTGTGTCACTTCTACATACACATATATGAGAATCATCAAACATCAAGGAACAGGGAAGAACTTAGCTGGAAAACAGCTAAAGGAAATCACTTAACTCCTAGAGAACTTCTTTCTTCCTCTATTTTTGGAGGTAACTGTTGATTTTGCTAGGTAAGATCCATATTATTTCTCAACCTCGGCTAGTGTTCCCGCATGTGACTGGACTACGTTTTCTTTTCATTATGCTAATTTACTAGATTTCCTTGTTAAATTTTAAATTGAGGGACAGTTATGTCAATTACTAGCTGCAATCTTCTTGATTACTTCCTGCACTGATACTTAATATTCAACATCCAGGTGTCAGAAAACAGGAAAACAGCCTGAGTAGATACAACCAAGGACTTCACATGGGATATAAAACATCTTGGAAAAACTCCTGTGTCTTTCAGATGAAAGCATACTGTAAGTGTATTAACATTAAGCAGATATTTGCAGCAATTACTACAGGAAATTAACTTGGAAAAAATGAAATTGCATGGTAAGGTTATGACAAACCCTCTGAGGAGAATTTGGAAGGAATTGGACATTTACTTCAGAGTAAGACATGGATCTGCATTCTCACTTATGTGCTGGTTCCACACCATGCTCCCTGTCCCAGGGGACATCATGACTTGACCTTGCTGCACATTTCTCTAAAACAAGTTTGTTACAGAATTAACTGGTTAAAAGAAAGGAGCAGACCATACAGAGCAGAAAGATGGTTGAAAGATGAAATTTATTTTTTCCTGGCTCAGTGTATTTATTTTTGTGCCTTGCTTATACCATTCCAGTAACATCGCTGGAATATAAATGTAATCCACAAGTATGAGACTAGACTGAGTGCTGATTAATTTAAGTGTCTTAAATCCACAGCTTCGTGTATGAGCTAAGCTTGGGTCAGAAATGCCAAATTAAATAGTGGCGTTACTCTTAAGAAATAACTTGTGACTTGGACAATCCGTAAGGAATCAATAACAAATTAAAACCAGTCAGTAGCGGTGAACTGAATAAATGAGTCATTCTTCCCAAAACAAACCTAATAGTAAAGTTCATTTGTCTATCAGGAAATTAGTGCTGTATTTTTGAAAGGTGCTAAATTACTTTTTAAAGATATCATAAAGCTGATATTGAAAACCAGAACAGTTAAAAGGCAGCTTTCCAAAATGCTTCAATCTTACTTAATAGGTAAAAGTACCATGTTTATGCTTAGTATTTTGTTCTTCACAAATGGGTAGAAAATTCTTCTGTCTCACTTCTGAAATGTTTACACAGCACAGCTTTCCCAAGAAGTCTTTTGGAAAAGTTTCCGAAGGATTTGGGAAAGATTATAAAATAATGTTATTCAGGATTAGTTCAGAAGCAGTAACTGAGCCCAGAACAGCACTGGAAAATGGGCAAAAAGTAAGATACTCATTACGCAGTGTTAGTTGAAAATGTAGTTTGATAAGAATCAGAGCTAACAATCTTGAATTTTTCCAGGAATTCCAGGAATTGTGACTAGGTATGAAATTGTTGTTCAGACTTAAAGGAGTTCAGTATTGGCTTATTCCACATCAAAATAACATTTAACTAACTTTAAATGCACGTGTACTCAAAAGGCTGGTAGAATACAAAAAAAAAAAAAAAAAAAGGAAATACTTGCATTAAAGGATTTTAATAGCAAATCTGTGCTAACAAACTGTGCCTTAATTTGAGAATAACTGTATTCTCCCTTTGAAAAAAAATTCTGAATGATACATCTAAAATCACCTTTAACAACTAAACAACTCTCTGTTTTGCTGAGAGCAAGTTCGCCAGGAATTTTTCAATGAGCTTTGAATCAGTTCCTAACACCTGAATTTCAAGTACGGCAATGTATTGAGCAAAATGTTTTCTTATTCTGTTGAAAGACCAGTTCACGTAAAATTGACCAAGAACTTCTATTCTTTTGGATGTTGAAGTAATTCCTCATATCCTTTCACAATATTACACCTAGAGAGCAACCTCTTATGCCTAGCACAACTTAAAAAAGAACAGTTAGTGCAACCAAAGATCCAGCCCGTTCTCCATCCCCAGCATAAAAATGCTGAGCTATTCAGCAATAAGCACCATGAAATATACTGCAAAGTCTCCCATTATGCAATGATTGGCTTTTTCCTCCAATACCACAGTCTATTTCTTCTTACTACTGCCTCAGAAAATTCTAAATATGTTTACACAAAAGAATTTACACTGTAGAAAACACTGGCTTTCCAATGCTGTTTTTTTTCTCCCAATACTCCATTGAAAACTCTCTATAAATAATTTTTTCCTCCAATTAACATGCGTTATAAGACCAGCAGAAAGATCATAAATTATTGTTGCTGTAGGCTTTTCAATGTAATTTATTACTGAAAAGTCATGAGCACCGCTTTGGAAATGCCAGCCTGTGAATCTGTAAACCTAGGAAATTAAGAACTAAGCTGGTCTCTTTACCCCGAGGTCAATTAGAAATGACACCAGCAGACTTCTTGGTGACCTGGGGAGATTTATAGCTTACCATGCTAGGTCTGTGGTTCAGCCAGAAGATTAAGATCAGAACAGCACCTGGAAGACTGTCATCAGTTCAGACAGGCTGGACCAATGGCTCCAGGCTAAAATGTGCACAGGAAAAGAGGTCATGTCACGCAGCCTTTGTTTTCACCAGGGCTAAGGCACATGTGGAAGGTACCCATTTGAGAGAGAGCTGGACTAACAAAGGTCTAGTATAGGGGCATTGGACTGTCCTGTAACAGGAACAAAGGCAACAAGTTGTCAAGGCACTCTGACTTCTCTCATTACTAAAAGTCACCTCCAGAGATATTTGCTACCTGATGAGGCTTCATGTGATTTGCAGATCTTGCTCTTTATTACTTCTCCTTTTTTATTTTTACAAGTGCAACCATTAGCTACAGCACGGCTCACATCATAAACCCTCACGATCTAGAATAAAAATTTGATCACTCTGCTGTGAGAATCTTATAAGAAAACAAAAAAGGTTGTGTCTTTTAGCCACTCATAAATATTTTATAATTTGGTAAGAACAATGGTCTACAAGGTTAAAGTTCAGGTCTGTAGTAGTCAACCAGATCCTTGCAAGACAATAAAAGGGAAAGCTACCCTTTGTTTTATAACAACTTTAGAAACAACTTATCTGAGGCAGTGGGAGCTTACAGACTTTCCATTGTATTCAAGTCATTTGTGCAAGTTCCCCTTATTATAGCTTTGATAAATGATGTTTGCAGCGGAAAAGCTGTTTAGGGTTTCTGAGCATCGTGAGCATTTAGATCCATGTCAGGTACTCAACAGAGACGTACAGAATAGCACACGGCTTAGAAAGCAAATGTCATTTTTGGAGGTAACCACCACTCAGGCTCAAAGAAGTATTTGCTTAATTTCTTCTACTCTATGTAGGCCCAGACTGGACAACAACTAGAGAAGAGGAGAACAAATCATAACCTTTGGGTTCTCAGTGTTGCACTGTCTTTAAAATGGGAATAAAAGAGACATCCAACTCATAGTGCTGCAAAGCTTAATTAATGCTCAGAATGCTATTTATAAGCTGAATAACTGAAACCCCTGGACAAGTAACTACTAAAATTTGTTACCTTTCAGAAGTCAGTACAATAGGGAAGTTCTTTGTCTCAGTTTTTTTCTATCTTTCACAGTATAAAATTAAGCCCTCTAAAAAAATATATCTGAAGGTGGCTTAACTGAGGATTTACTAACTTAAGCCACGGTGTTCCTCATTTTGTTATCCTCTCTGGGTTTATAAAGTCATAGGTAATAACTCTAGACACTAATCTGAACACTAAGACTTATTACTTACCTACCTGATTAAAACATATCTTGCAACATGTCATGTGCTCAGAAAATATGAAACCCAAATTCTGTTACCGGCTTCAGACTTGTAGATGTCACTTCACAGC